TACATATATATATATATATATAGTCTACACCGCCGTTGACCTTTGAAGACGTGAATAATAATAATAATAATGATAGTGGTATTGAGGGGTACGACCTAGAAAAGTGGAGAGATGCAGGGTAAAAGGAAAAACACAAACAAAATATATTTGCTTCAACGCAGGAGTGTGCGCGTACTTCCATGTAATACAAAACGAGAAGAGGACGACGGAAAGAAAGATAAAAAGAATGAAGTCTCCACAGTATAAACCCGACAATCGAAGAAGCCAAAGTGCGCCCTTATAAACGAGCTGCTTCACCTCCTCCCTCCTCCCTTCCCCTTATAAGAGAGAGTAACGCAAACAACAACAAAATAAAAGAGAGGAGCAATGGCTCCGCAAACATCTATACCGTTGCGGGAAACAAGCAAAGGAGCAAAAAGTGTACACGGGGGGAAAACAACAACAAGAGAAGAAGGACAAAGATGTGACAAGGACAAATACAATCGCCCATTCGGCGCCGGCGTGCTACCACCATCTGGTTGACGCCCCACCCGCCTTCTCCCTTTTCGCAATGCTTCTGCTCTTAGAAAATGGAATGCAAGTACTCACCAATGTTCAGCGACTCCCACCACAGCACGTCCCCAAGCTGGATGTTCTTCGTCGCCGTCATCACGATCGCCACCGTCGGCGGCCGACCCACATCGCTGGAAGGCAGAGAGTGGACGAGGGAGAGCTGGAGGTTCGCACAGCTGCGACTCGCCGCATCCTCCAGCATCTGATTACTCCAGTCATCGCGGAAGGGGGTGGACCGCCCGAGGTCCTCCGCGCCGGGTGACAGCACTGACCCGTTCAGCACCGCCGCCGCTGAGGCCGAGGCGATGGAGTGAATGGAGAGGAAGGAGTCGTCCTCGACACCGCTACCGTAGCCGCTGGCTCCTAAGTTACCGCCCCCGGCACCGCCACGGCGTGTGGCCGCCGCCGCGCAGTAGGCGATCATGCGACGCTGCTGCTCGTGCTCGACCGTAAAGCGGGAGTAAATCACGCCCCAGCCGGAGTGACCCACAATGGGGTACAGATCCACGGTGAGAGACGTCCAAGGACCGATCACCGCCATTGGCACCACCGGCGGCGCGGCCTCGCTCGGCCGCTTCTCCGTGCTGTCCGAAGAGCTCGCGCTGTCGCCGGATTTCGCGCCGCCAAGACTCAGCATTGCACTTTGCGTGTTGGTCCAACTGTGGCTGTTCGGAGTTGGCAGGCTGCTGCTGCTGCTGTTCACACCCGTCCCGCCGTCCGGTTCCGCGCTCTCCGGATACACCACTGCGCAGCTCGTCAGGCAGAAATCGAGCAACTCCTCAAAGACGCGGATGCTGGGGAGAAAGGCGAGGAGCTCCGTGCAGGTCCAGTGCAGTGGCGCACCGGCCATGGCCTCGCCGTCGCTCTTCTGTCGGGGTGTGTTGCGAGGCAGCACGTAGACACCCTCTAATGCGGTGCTCACGACGTCGTGTATACGCTGCAGCATGAGGTGCGTCGTGCATATCAGCTCCTCGAGCTGCTGTGTGGTCAGCTCCACAACCCAGTGCCGCTGACCTGGCTTTGCGGGCGGCTTCGACGCAGGAGCTGCGCGACTCGGGAGAGGAAAGATACTGCTGTTGCGCGTGGCGTTGGGCGGGAGGCCGTTGAAGTTGGCTCCGTCAAACGGACCCCCGCCTCCGCTGTAGTTGCCGCTGACGCTGACGTTGTTGCGACCCGTCGGCGTAGCCTTCCGCGGCACGGCACAAGGGAATTCATTCACCGCCTCCCACACCGTCGCCGGCGCCCGGTAGGTGAAGTCGGCAAAGAAGGGGACGGAGAGCTGTTGCAGCATCACCTCCAACAGCAGCAGCCGCTGTGGGTCCACACTGGTGCAGTAGCTGTTCGTGCGGCTTACATGCGGGGAGGCAGGCACCATCAGGCCGCGGCTGCACAGGGTCTGCGCGACGGCCCGCACGGTGGCGTGCCGCTCCTCTGCCCACTCCTTCATTAACGCTTCGTTGTCCGCGCGAAGGTGCGGAAGGCGCTCGACCGGGAGCACCATGCACAAAACCATCGCGACAAGCCGCGACATGGCACGCTGCGCCGTCACCGCCAGAATCGGCGGCGGTGGGCGCCGTTTCGTGACTGGTGGGTTTCCGTCGGCGCTGCCGTGACTCCCGGGCTTCGGCGGAGCGCTCTGCTGGTTCGGTGGCCGTCGTGGGAAGGGCTCCAGGCCGCATTCCTTCGGCGAGGTCACGACGGAGACGGAGGGGGTGCAGTAGGCGGCCGGGGTCGTGGACCGCATACTCGGCGTGTCCCAGTTCGCGAAGCGGTAGAGAAAGTTGTCCCACTCTGCAAAGATGTCCTGCAGGGACGCCACGGCACACTGCACCCGCGCTGCATCGTCATCCCCACCGCCATCGCTGGCATCCGCCGCAGCTGCGGTGACGGGTAGCGGTTCGGCCAGACCGCCACACTCCACTACGTGATAGAGCCGCAGCGCTTCTCGGCGGCAGGCTTCGGAGCAGTACGTGGAGCCGCACTTGCCGGGGCAGTGGATGAGACGCGTCAGCCGCTGCCGTCCACACTGCATGCAGTACGCGGGCTGCACCGTACGCTGTGAAGTCCCAGCGCTGCTGCCCGGCACCGTCGTCGCGTCTTCTCCGCCTGGCCCTTCGCCTCCTTGGGGATAGGATGCGGACGCGAGGGAAGAAGAGCTTCCTGCCCTCACCAGGCGGCCACCACGCCCGTACGGCAGCGGCCACAGCGCCAGCAACAGCGCCGGCCGCTCCAGCAGCACCGGGTCCCCTTTCAAAATGCGACGTGTGGCGGACAGGCGAATGTGACGGTTAAAGTAGCGCATTGACACGGTGCCGTAGGGGATCGCGGTGTCGATGGTGCTCGCCAGCAGCGCTAACACGGAGTCGCGGTCGTACATGAAATCTTCCGGCTTAATCCGCTTTTCCCTCTTCGCTGCGGCGGACTTGCCCGCGCTATTTCCCGCGTCGACGAAGACGTCGACGTCACCCTTCGAGAGGGAGCGGCGCATGTTCTGGAAGCAGCGTGACGTAATGAACCCGCGGTAGATGCTGGAGCGTGGGAGGGGGTTGTCCTGCGGCGTGCCACTCTCCGCCCTCTGCGGCAACACACTCGGGAAGAGCGTCTCCAGCAAGAAGAGACGACGGTGGCACACATCGTTGCTCGGGCGAGAGGAGAAGCGCCGATGTTGGAGGCGGCGACGGCCGTGTGCATTATTGCTCGTATTATGAGCACTGATGCCGTCTCTGTCCTTTGCCGGCACCATCGTCACCGCCGCGCCGTTGCTGGGCGACGAGGAGCGCTCTGCGACGCGCGGCGAGAGGGGGAGTGGGAGCGGGTACGGGTGCTCGCTGATCACGCTCGGGCGATGGAGGCTCTTTCCGTAATAGCCCAACAGGAGGGGGCAAACTTCGTAGGGTAGGGTGCGCTGCACGAGCGACGTGGACGGCCCGGCTCCCTTGGCTCCGCTGGCGTGGCGCGACGTCGAGGAGTGCCGGCCCCAACCCACGGGCGGGTCAACGATGCCGCCGCCGACCACCACCAGAGGCATGGAAGTGGGGGAGGACATGTGCAGGCTCCGGTTGGCATATGTCGCTTCAGCTGCTCCGCTGTTTGGATTGGTGCCAGCCGCTGCTGCTGCTGCTGCGGCAGCACCCCCCGCGGGATACGAGCCTCGACTGAGGTACGCAGGGTCGTCTAAGGGGGTCGAATCCACCCCCTCGTTGTACAGGAACGACTGCGGGTTCTTGGAGTGCTCCGGCGTACCGCCACTCCCGCCCCTGCCAAGGAGGTTGTGCCGCAGCAGGGTGGGATTCAGCTGCTGGTGCAAGAAGAGCGTTCCGTAGGACACCATCACCTGAGTGACCCGACCGAGCCGGGTGAGGAGCGGGGTAGGCGGGCGACAGCGATGCCGCAGGTGGGCCGCCAAGCGCCCGACCTGTGCGGTGTGCCCGAAGCTGATGAGGCAGGCGGCGAGGATCTCGTAGGTGTTGCACACGTGCTCCGGCGTCGGGCAGCACGACAGCGCCGCCTCGGCGTCGCGTAGGCTGTCGTGGAGGTAGTCGGGCGACATGTGGAAGAACAAATGACTGCGAATGGTGTACAGGATGGACAGGTCGCGCGGCTGCAAGGGTGGGGGTGCGACACCGCTGAGACCGGAGGGGATTTTTGTTGGGACGGCTTTCGCGGTCACGTCGTCCACGGACGGTGCGGCCGTCGTCAGCTTCTCCTCCTCGCGGCTGATGGCGTCGTTGATCACCTGCACCGCCGTGTGGTAGTCTGCCGCGGCGGTGTGGCCCACCAACTCCGACGTGAAGGGCGAGACGGTGGCTGCGGTGCGCAACGCTCCTTCCATCCCGTCATCGTCCTCCGCGTTCGCCGCGGCAAACAGCGGACGGCTGTAGGGGATCGTGAGGGCACGCAGGAGGGGGTGCAGCAGCCGCAGCGCGTGCAGGCGTACGATAACGACTGGAATGCACACCGACGTTGGCAGCGACAGCCGCACGAGCACCGAGTCGTCGTCGCCGCCTTTATCCGTCTCGCGCGCGCTGGCGGTGGTGGGCGTCGTTCCCTCGAACAAATTCGCCATCTCGCCGGCGCTGCCACTCGCCGCGAGGACACCGCCGACTCCCGCCGCGGCGGCGGAGGACGAGCCGTGCGACGACGAGGAGTAGCGAGACTGGGTGTTGCTTGTGCGCAGCCACTCCCCATACGTTTTACTGCGCTGGAAGAAGTCGTAGTAGGTGGAGGCCTGGGGCGAGAGGTGCCGAAGCGGTGATTCTCTGCTGTCGTGGCAGGTGCTCGTGTCCTCCGATTTTGAGAGAGGGTCGACGTGCAGGAGAGACGGGTCCTCGTCGTAGGTCACACTGGCGTGCGGCGGCGCATCACCTCTGCTCTGCCGGCTGCAGCTCTCATTGCTGTTCACGCTCCCTGTCCGATCCGTTGACTGCACACGCGGATGGGCACGCAAGTGAAGACTCTGGCTCGTATCCGTAGGACTCACAAACACCGTAGTGGGCAGCTCGTACGGGGGCGGCCGGCCGTGTTGGCGTCGGGTGCGTGGCAGGCCAGGAGAGGGTGGGGTGCCACTACGCTCCGTATCCTCCTCCGTGACGCTGTCGTGGCTGTCCGCGACGCTGGTGTCATCCAAATCGTCGTCGCTCTGGTCCGATGAGTAGCCTTGTGCGCGCGGTGTGAGAGGTGTGCGCAGAAACGGGGTAGCGCTGCACTTTCCAGCGAGATTGATGGGAGGATTTGGCGTGGCAAAGAATCGCTGCTGAGGCGCACTCTGCGTGCGCGTCTTCCTCGCAGGTTGCCGTTGCCGCTCCTTCCCCGCTGCCGTTGCTGCCGCTGCGGATGGCTCGTCGTCTTCCGCTACGGCGCGCTGCTCGCCGCTTGAACAGACCTGAAATTTGTTGAGGGCCGGCGTCAGCATGAGAATGCGCGACAGCGGCGGCTCCTTGCGAAAGCGCCGCTCCATCACCGCCGGGTCGGAGTGCCCACCGCCTGCGGTTACAACGCTGCTGCTGCGGTCCACCGTCGAGTAGGAGGAGTAGCTGTTAACGATGTCCACGGAGGACGATGATCGGGGGAGCCCAGGCAGGTCAGCGTGGCGTTGCTGAAGAATCGGAACGGAAGTCTCCCCACCTAGCGAGGCGCCACCGCTGGGATGGAACGAGGACTCCAAGACGGTGGCAGAGGCGGCGCGTGGCAGCGGGCGGGACTCGGTCAACAAGGCTGGACCGTCCGTCAGACCGTTTGTGGTTGTTGCCGCCGCTGCTGCTGCTGCCACTGCTGTGGAGGGGACGGTGGTCGTGGTGGTCAACGTCCTTGTATTCGTCGCAACCACAAAGGTGTTGCTCGCCGGCTCAGCGGCGTCGTGGTGTGCGTTGTCCGCCCGCACGAGCCCCGGCAGACCAAGCAACGCCTCACGCGAGGGCACCTCAGAGGTGTCGGTGCTTTGCGGTTCGGTGCGCTCCGTATGGTGCCCCACCGTGAAGGTGGAGCTGGTGCCGGTGGCGGCGCTGTGCTCCGGCGCGCAGGGCACGCCGTTGTTGATGGGTGTGGCCAAATGCGGGCGGGTCGAGGTGATGGCGGCGGTGTCGTTGGCTTCCAAGGAAGGCGGCGTGTTGGTCATCGCCGTCGCCTCCAGCGTTGTCGCCGCCTCTTCTTCCTCTTCTTCTTCGTAGTCGTAGAAGTAGTTCTCCTCTCCTGCTCCATCTTCTTGCTTCACCTTCCACGACTCAGACGCGGCGGGTGCGCTTGTTGGGGAGGGGGTGGCGTGCGCCGGTGGGTGCCACACCGCAAAGCTCGTGTTGCCCAGGTAAGCTGCAGGAATGCTAAACTCGACCACCACGACGGACTCTGCGCTTTCTCGCAGCACCATGCCCTCCAGCGAGTGCTGCAGGATGACTTGGATAAGTTCGTAGGCCTCGCTGCCGAGGCGGTCAATCCACCAGAATTCCAGCTGAGGGGTGCTGGGCCGCAGGCAGACCCGCACCCCAACGGACGGCGTCACGATACTGCGCCACCAGTGGGGGAGCTGGGGGCTGCGGTAGATGTTTGGGGTGTGGGCACCGGCGGCATCCTCGGCGAACTCCTCATGAGAAGATGCGGCGGGGTTCGACCTGTCCTGTACGATGTGGAAAAGCTGAGAGGTGATCGACCCCAGCGCGGAGGAGGGGACGGAGACGCTCTTGTTGTTGGCGTTGCTGCTCTTTCGCTCGCTGTTTTTGCCGTTCACCAAACCAGCCAGGTGCCACGAGCCGCACGCGTCTCCGCCTGGTCGCGGCAGGCGGTGCAGACGCGGCTGCTCGAGCCCTACAAATAAGTCAGCAAAAGAGGGCGCCTGTGGGGTGGAGTCCTGCAAAGGACTTCGTAGGTCGTCCATACCAAAGCTGTTATGGTGGGTATGGTTGTTGCGGCGCATGCTTGGACTGCAACTCGGACTGTTCGTCCTCTTGTTAGTGCCGCTACTTGTAAGCGTCGTGGGGGTCTCCGCCGCACCCGAACCGGAGGACTCGCCATACGCGAATACATACGGCGTCTGCGGAGACAGAGTCGGCAGTGGCGTGTCCGAAGGGATCGTCGTGTCGGAGGAGACGAAGGAGAGAGAGTGACCGTGCAGGTCACCCGCGGAGCGCGTCTCGACGGTGATGGCGCCGACTTGCGTGACACCAGACACGAACATGGTGGGAAACGACGTCTGGGACTCTAGGCCGGGCGAGGAGCACGGAGGAAGCACGACGGCGTTGGCTTCAGCGACGGCAGCGGTGTGGGTTGCGCTCGAGCTCCTCTGCAGCAAGCCGTCTCGCGCCGCCGCCGCCGCCTGGCTTCCTCGACGCGGAGGTAGTTGGGGCTGGCACAGAGGTCGCTCTGCATTTCTCGACGCCGCTTCTGCCTCTGCTTCCTCAGCTTCAGGACGGGGGAGTGGTGGACTCAGCGTCGGCAGCTTCGCGATGCCCGGGCCGCCAGGCAGAGTAAAGGGGAACGTAAAAATAGTCGTCGTGGTCGCCTTGCTTGCATCCGCGCTGTTGCTCTGCTGGCGTGCGGGGAGCTGCGGCGAGTCGGTGCTGATGGCGAGCGCCAGTTCGGCACCGGTCCAGGGCCGGTCCGGAGGCGGCACGAAAAGCGGGGTGCGTGAGGCGCTGCTGTCGCCGTTGGCGTCGGCGGCGTCGCAGCTGCGTTCGTTTTCGCTGCGGATGGACATGGCGGAGGCGAGGAAATAAAAAGAAAATGAAATTCAAACAAACCAACAAAGCGGGAAAAGGTATTGATGTCGGTGTCCCGCCGTAGTGGTAGCAACACCGATAATCCTACTACGACGACGACAAGTAAAAAACGCAAACAATCGATCAAACGAGGTGTAGGGATTATAGCGAAAAGGAAAAGGAAAAGAAAGTGTACGAGGGAAGTGAAAGGCTCTTGTTTTGTTGTGTGCTTTCCGTCTTCGTTCGTTTCAGCCGACTACAGGCTTCAGCAGCAGCACGGAGAGAAAGAGAGAAAGAAAGGAATAAGAAGGATAGGAAGTCAAGAGTCGAAGTGATTGCACGGCATTTAGGGAAATACATAACTAGCGAGTACCTGGCATCAATGTCCCCATCAAGGCTACTCATTGTTTCTTCACTATCTAGTATCTGCCCCAATTCCGTTCTTCTTTA